TCTGTCCTCACAACGGAAATGGATGCCCCAAATGCCGCAGTATTGGATGAGAGGGTAGAGGACATAGATCAGATTATTATAGACAGAGAGGAAGTTTTAAAAGATTGACTGGGCTCAAAATTGATAAGTCACCAGGACCAGATGGGTTTCACCCAAGGGTTCAAATAGCGGAGGCTTTGGCCATTATATTTCAATCTTCATTGGACACGGGAGTGGACATTGGACACAGCCAACATGGATTTGTTAAAGGCAAATCTTGCCTAACAAATCTAATAGAATTTTTTTGAAGAGGGGACTGCGAGGGTTGATGAGGGGAATGCGGTGGACGTTATTTACATGGATTTCAAAAAGGCTTTTGACACAGTACCGCGTAAGAGATTAATAAAAAAACGTAAGAGGCCCACGGTATTAAGGGGACAGTGGTAGTTTGAATTAAGAACTGGCTGAGTGACAGAAAGCAGAGGGTGGTGGTTAATGGGTGTTTCTCAAAATGGAAGGAGGTGTGCAGCGGTGTCCCCCATTTAGACTCCCACTGCTCTTTCTAATATATATTAATGATCTGGACTTGGGCATAGAGAGCACTATTTCCAAGTTTGCAGATGATACAAAGTTAGGTAGGGTAGTAAATAGTGAAGAAGATTGTGACGCACTGCAGGCAGACACACACAGAATGGTGGAATGGGCTGACATGTGGCAGATGGATTTCAATGTGGATAAGTGTGAGGTGATACACTTAGGTAGGAAAAATGATAGGAGGCAATATAGACTTGGTAGCTCAACCTTAAGGGGGATGAACGTACAGAGAGATCTGGGTGTTCAAGTAAACGAATCAGTAAAGGTAGCGCGGCAGGTAGATAAGGCAGTAAAAAAGGCATTTGGTGTTCCGCCGGTAGGTGTGTCTGTGACCCGTGGTCACATTCTTCAGATATCTACCAAAAGAAGCAGAGGGGAGGTTAGAAGAAATCTTTCCACTCAGCGAGTTGTTCGAATTTGGAGTGATCTGCCTGAAAGGGTAGTGAAGTCTGATTCGATAACAGCTTTTAAGAGAGAACTGGATAGGTATCTGGGGAAGACGGGTTTGCAGGGTTATGGGGAGAAAGCTGGTGATTGGAGTCAGTGAAAGTGACTTGCTCTGTCAAAGAGCCGGCACAGACTCGATGGGCCGAATGGCCTCCTTCTGTGCCGTAACATTCTATGAAAAATCTATGAATCTATGAATTCCATTTACCTGACCTATCCCCATATCCCTTAATCCCTCTATCCTTTAGAAATCTATCAACCTCAGTCTTGAATATGTTCAAGGATTGAGCATCCACAGCCTTCTGGGGTTGAGAATTCCACAAATTCACTATCCTCTAAGTGAAGAAATGTTTCCTCAACTCAGTTTGAAAAGGCTGACCCTTAATCTTGAGTCTATGACCCCTAGTTTTAAGTGTGCATCTCATGCCTGCTGACTCTAACTGGTATTATAAAGATGCAAAGGTCATTCTTATAAGCTGATCATCTGTATTGATTTATAATTATCGGTGCACCCTATGTTCCCTGTTCCTATTTTCTGTTCCTTGAATCGAATCCGATCACACTTTACAGATAGCAGAAAGCATTGGAAGTTGTTGAATGCCATGTTCATTCCACAAGGGAGCTTCGGAGAAGTGAGTTAATTATATCGATCTCCTTCACGAGTGAGACAAACATTGTATTCCAGCATTTCATATGGGCTATTCTATTTATAAAGTAAATCTTATGTGTGAAGCGTTCATTATCAAGATCCTTGTGACATCATTAGTTTCCATGGATGCATTGAAAAGTGTAGTTTGTGTGTGTTGGTGTGTGTACATTATTATCAGGACTTGACCTGTTCAGTTGGGAGGCCACATGTATTTTATTTAGGTCTCTCCAAACTCATTGTTCATAATAATAAATAATCATTGCATTGATAGAGCACTTTATCACCCTGTCAACATGCCTCAAAGATCTTCACAGGATTCACTGTAAAGTGCAGTGACTGTGTATTTTGTAGGCGAACCCAGCACCAAATTTGCGCAGAGCAGTGATTGGTGTTATTTGGCGGGAGTGTCAGCTTAGGTACGAGAAGAAACTCCCTTCTCGTTTCGAATAGCGCCGTGGGATCTTTAACATCCACCTGAACAGGCAGACCGGACCTCGGTCTAATATCTCATCTGAATAATTTTCTATAATTTTCCCATTGAATGCACTGAGCAGACGTCCCGAAATGGAAATTCAGATGAGTTCAAGTCAAATGCGAAAATGTAATCTAAAATGTCACCTAAAATGTAGACGAATAAAAACCTGCGTCAGAACAAACTCTGTAATTAGAGCAATGTCCAGCAGTTAAACCTTCCTTTAAACAACACAATCTGCAAATGCATTTAGGTTTGCTCTTAAAATGCACTAAAACAACTTGCATTTATATAGCGCCCCTCACGCTGGGCAGGGTCCCAGAGCGCTTGACAGTGGTGGATCACGACGCTGAGCCGGGGCCAGGGGGGGTGACCATAGGCACGTTCAAAGAGGAAGGTCTTCAGGTGCGACCTGAAGGTGGGGAGGAAGGGGCAAGGCAGATGGATAGAGGAAGAGTGTTCCAGAGTTTCAGGGCATAATGGCTGAATGAGCGGCCGCCAATGGTGGAATGGAGGGGACGAGGGACATGCAGAAGGCCGGAGCCAGTCAAGTGGAGGCAGCGGGTGGTGGGTTGAGGGGTATGCTGGTTGGAGAGGTAGGGAGGATTTGAAAACGTATGTGAGGATCTTGAAATCAATTCGATCAGCGATAGAACTGGGATGATGGAAATACGGAGTTTAGTGCAGTTGATTATGTGGGCGGCGGAGTTTCGGGTCAACTGGATCCTGTGCATGGAGGGACTGGGGAGACCGGCAAAGAGGGTATTTGAAAAGTCAAGTCGGGAGGCGCCGAACACATGGACAAGTGTTTCAGCTGCATCTGGGGTAAGGTACGGTCGGAGATGGGCGTGGAGGTGGAGGAAGTGGTCCTGGTCAAAGACCGGATGTAGGGAAGGAAAGACAGCTATAATAATAATAATCCTTGCATTTGATATAGCGCTTTTCACGTCGGGAGGACGTCCCAAAGCGCTTCACAGAATATACTGTAAAGTGAATTGACTGTATATTTGTGGGCGAACGCGGCAGCTAATTGCACACAGCAATGTCCCACAAACAGTCGTGGATTGAAAATGACCAATTTATTATTGTTTCTGGTTTTGGAGGGATTATTATTAGGCTCTGTGTGGAGTAAGGAAACTTGCCCAAGGTTTCGCCCTCTGCCTGGAATTGAACTCAGGTCTCTTGCTTGCAAAATTGGGGACTCCCGACATTTGCCCCGAACAGCAGCTGCGGAGAAAGGTGCAGAGAGTGGAGTGGGAAGTGTGGAGTGGGGGTGGGGGGGAGTGGGGTGGGGGTGGGTGGGTTGGGGGTGGTGGTGGGTGGGTTGGGGGTGGTGGGGAGTGGGGTGGGGTGGTGGGTGGGGGGGAGTGGGGTGGGGGGAATTGGGGGGGGGGTCCTGGCAGTGGATGGCAATGGGTTGGGTGGAGCAGGTGAGGCTCTGACACACACATACACACACACACACCTGCGCGCATGCGCACTCCGCCTCCCCCCTCCTCGCTCTCGCGAGAGCGGGGCGGACAATCGAGCCGCATCACCGCTTCCCCCCCGGACGGCCGCTGTGTGTTGCGTGCGCGCGCGGCTGTAACCGTCCGCCCCCCCCCTCCCCGCCTTCTCACTCCCCTCCGCCTCCGCCGCCGCCGCGTCCCCCACTCCTGTCCCTTTCCTTCCTTATTTGGGGGGTTGGGGGCGGGTGAGAGGGCCGTCGAATAACCCCCAACAAACAGAAAACAAACGCGCGCGCGCGCGAGAGAGAGAGACTAAAAAAGGGGGATCGCACACCTCATCGGAAGGCTCATCAAAGTTTTCCCCCCCCCCCCCAAAAAAGCGTCGATCTGAGAGAGGAGGAGGGGGGAGACTCACCTCATCGGGGACACAGCCCCGTATTTTGTTTGGTAATAAAAACAACACAAGAGATATAACGGACACGAGGAGGGGGTTTACTTTCTCTCTGTGTGACTCATCCGCAGGGCGCGAGACAGAGAGAGAGAGAGAGCGCGGCGGAGGGATACGCCGTGGAAGGGTGGTGCGGGGGAGGGAAGGGGTAACGGGTGGTGACGGGACTACTTTCACGCGGCCGCTGCCATTTTGCTGATCCGCGGCGGCGGCGAAAGAGAGAGAGAGGGACCGAGAGGGAGAGCGAGGCCCGCGCAGCGCAGCACAGCCTCAGCCCGAGCCCGAGCCCGGGACACAGAGCAGAGCGGCAGCCACACAGCCACAGCCGCGCTCACAATACACACCCCCCACCCACTCCCCAGGGCCGCAACTTCTCTCCCTCCTCTTCTTCACTCCTTCCTGTCTTCCTTTTTGAACCTCCTGCCCCCTCCCCACAGCCCACCACCCGTCTGTCTCTCTCTCTCTCTCTCTCTCTCTCTCCCTCCATTTTTTTTTAGTTTATTATCCTTTTCTTCTCTCTCTCTCTCTCTGTCTGTCCCTTCCTTCGCACTCACTTTCACCCTCTCCTCACCGCCACTGGGGTGGAGAGCGAGACGCCGGCAAAGCCATCCATCAGCCAACCAACCAACCAACCAGCCGCCGCCTCTCTCTCTCTCTCTCTCTCCTCGCCCCTCGGCCTCTTTCTTCTCTCCTTCCCTCCTTCTTCTCCTCTTTGAAGCCCAGAGAGCCCGAGCGACCCGGGAGAAGCCACTGTTTTGCTGTTGGTGTTTTTGTTTTGTTTTTTTGGCGGTGGTGGGGGGGAGGGGGGGGGGGGAGAGGCGGGGAGAAGAAGAGAGAACAAAAAGATCCCTCCCCGGTTTAAAAAAAAAGAAAATATATAAATATAATCTCCTCCCTCCCTCCTCCTCCTCCTCCTTCCGCCGCCAGCATCATCATCACCGCCTCCTCCCCTCCTCCCCCTCCCCCCCCGGACTCACGTAACGGTCGATAGATACACACACACACACACACAACATGGCTCTCAAAAGAATCCACAAGGTAAGTCGCTGAAGGGCGGCGCCTCGCGCTTTCACTCCTTCCCCCTCTCTCCCCTTCCCTCGCTTTCTCTCTCTCTCTCTCTCTCTCTCTCTCCCCAGTAATCGAGGCCGGGGATTTGCGGCCTATCTTCCCCCCCCCCCTCTCTCTCTCTCTCTCTCTCAACCCCCCGCCATCTCTCTCCGTGTCGCCCCGGCCGCCATTTGGTGGCTATGGATGAAGGTGTGTGTGTGTGTGTGTGTGTGTGAGGGGATGTGGGGGGACTGTAGGCCTCGCTTCTCGCCTCTCCTCCCAATGTCGCCCCACCCTCTCTCCCACCCCCCGGGGGAAAGGCTCTGCTGTGGCTGTCTGCCCCCCCACCCCCACCCCCGGCTTGTGCTTGTGCTTGTGCTCGGGTTGGGGTTGGGTTGGTGGCAGGAAGTCGGCCCCGACTGGTAAAGGCCCCTCTCATGAGCTTCGGCTTCGCACTCTCCCAATTCCCCCCACACCCTCGGGGTGGGGAGCGCTTCGGTAAATTGAAAGCGAAACGGCTGCGATTCAAAGTGTCATAGCGGTGTCTGGAGCCCTTGACCTAGGCCAGAGGGCGAGGAACCTGCAGGTTCGGGAGCCTGGATTCTCCTCTCCCCCCTCACCCCCATCTACACCCTAACCCCCTTTCATGACCCCCCCCCCCCCCGCCGCCGCACACTCTTCACCCCCACACACACACACACAAATCCTCACCCACCCTGCCCTCACTCACATACCCACCCTGCCCTCACTCACATACCCACCCTGCCCTCACTCACATACCCACCCCACCCTGCCCTCACTCACATACCCACCCTGCCCTCACTCACATACCCGCCCTACCCTCACTCACATACCCACCCTGCCCTCACTCACATACCCACCCTGCCCTCACTCACATACCACCCTACCCTGCCCTCACTCACATACCCACCCTGCCCTCACTCACATACCCACCCTACCCTGCCCTCACTCACATACCCACCCCACCCTGCCCTCACTCACATACCCACCCTGCCCTCACTCACATACCCACCCCACCCTGCCCTCACTCACATACCCACCCTGCCCTCACTCACATACCCACCCACCCTGCCCTCACTCACATACCCCCTGCCCTCACTCACATACCCACCCTACCCTGCCCTCACTCACATACCCACCCTGCCCTCACTCACATACCCACCCTACCCTGCCCTCACTCACATACCCACCCTGCCCTCACTCACATACCCACCCTACCCTGCCCTCACTCACATACCCACCCTGCCCTCACTCACATACCCACCCTGCCCTCACTCACATACCCACCCACCCTGCCCTCACTCACATACCCACCCTGCCCTCACTCACATACCCGCCCTGCCCTCACTCACATACCTACCCTGCCCTCACTCACATACCCACCCTACCCTGCCCTCACTCACATACCCACCCTGCCCTCACTCACATACCCACCCTGCCTCACTCACATACCCACCCTGCCCTCACTCACATACCCACCCTACCCTGCCCTCACTCACATACCCACCCTGCCCTCACTCACATACCCACCCTACCCTGCCCTCACTCACATACCCACCCTGCCCTCACTCACATACCCACCCTGCCCTCACTCACATACCCACCCTGCCCTCACTCACATACCCACCCTGCCCTGCCCTCACTCACATACCCACCCTGCCTCACTCACATACCCACCCTGCCCTCACTCACATACCCCACTCCCCCTGCCCTCACTCACATACCCACCCTACCCTGCCCTCACTCACATACCCACCCTGCCCTCACTCACATACCCACCCTGCCCTCACTCACATACCCACCTGCCCTCACTCACATACCCACCCTGCCCTCACTCACATACCCACCCTGCCCTCACTCACATACCCACCCTGCCCTCACTCACATACCCACCCTACCCTCACTCACATACCCACCCTACCCTCACTCACATACCCACCCTGCCCTCACTCACATACCCACCCTACCCTGCCCTCACTCACATACCCACCCTACCCTGCCCTCACTCACATACCCACCCTGCCCTCACTCACATACCCACCCTGCCCTCACTCACATACCCACCCTGCCCTCACTCACATACCCACCCTGCCCTCACTCACATACCCACCCTGCCCTCACTCACATACCCACCCCTCCCTCACTCACATACCCACCCTGCCCTCACTCACATACCCACCCTGCCCTCACTCACATACCCACCCTGCCCTCACTCACATACCCACCCTGCCCTCACTCACATACCCACCCTGCCCTCACTCACATACCCACCCTGCCCTCACTCACATACCCACCCTGCCCTCACTCACATACCCCCCTGCCCTCACTCACATACCCCCCTGCCTCACTCACATACCCCCTGCCCTCACTCACATACCCACCCTGCCCTCACTCACATACCCACCCTGCCCTCACTCACATACCCACCCTGCCCTCACTCACATACCCACCCTGCCCTCACTCACATACCCACCCTGCCCTCACTCACATACCCACCCTGCCCTCACTCACATACCCACCTGCCCTCACTCACATACCCCCTGCCCTCACTCACATACCCACCCTGCCCTCACTCACATACCCGCCCTGCCCTCACTCACATACCCGCCCTGCCCTCACTCACATACCCGCCCTGCCCTCACTCACATACCCGCCCTGCCCTCACTCACATACCCGCCCTGCCCTCACTCACATACCTGCCCTCACTCACATACCAGCCCTGCCCTCACTCACATACCTGCCCTGCCCTCACTCACATACCCGCCCTGCCCTCACTCACATACCTGCCCTGCCCTCACGCGCCCACCCTGCCCTCACTCACATACCTGCCCTGCCCTCACGCGCCCACCCTGCCCTCACTCACATGCCCACCCTGCCCTGCCCTCACGCGCCCACCCTGCCCTCACTCACATACCCACCCTGCCCTCACGCGCCCACCCTGCCCTCACTCACATGCCCACCCTGCCCTCCTGCGCCCGCCCTGCCCTCACGCGCCCGCCCTGCCCTCACGCGCCCACCCACACGCGCCCGCTCTCCCGCAACTGCCCTCACGCACCCACCCTCCCCGCAGACACCCACCCGCATCCTTGCCTGCCCCACCTTGCACGCGTGCCCTCCCTCACCCACCCCACATTAGCGCCATCGGCCCTTCCCACACACAAACCCCCTTCCCCCATCCTTATCCTCACTCCTTCTCCTCCCCCAACGCAAACAGGTACCACATTCCCTCACCCCCTCCTCCCCCCCCATACAATGTTCAGCTCCCTTCACTCAAGTGCCTATTTTCACTCCCGGTTACTCCGGGATGAACGGTATCGTGGGAGGTTGCAAGTGAGCAAGAGGCCTCACAGATGGAATACACAAGGCCTATGGATGGTTTAATGCACCCACGAGCTGCCTTTCTTCCTGCCCCCCCACATCCCCCAACCCCTGGGTTACCTCAGATCTGTCAGTTTCACGAAGCTCAAATCGTTCAATAATCACCCAACATCTCAGCCTGGTGCCTGAATTTTAGATGTGATTTATGTCTGAAATGGAACCATCTTAGATTAATTTGGATAGGGTCATGGAAGAGAATAAAATAATGCTCCATTTGTATTTTGCAGTAAGGCTGATGGTAAAAGCCCTGTGATTTGAAGGCTAGGAGTGGTGAAACTTTTTTTAGCTTTTAGAAGAAAATGATAAAATATAGATTAGTGTGAAGTCAGCTTGTAACTTCCTTCCAGCATTATTAAGATAATGTATTTGGTTTATGAATTAACCAATAAATATGCAAATTGTTAAACAAGGCTACTAAAAATCAGCATATGACTTTAATTTTAATCTTAAAGTAGCTTCACTGTACATTTCTGAAATGTGCATATTTAGTGTATTTTATGTTATTTTTTGTTTTTTAAAGAAAAAAGAAATTTGGTTGTGAGTTACATTTCAGACTTGAGGTAAAATGGACAACAATTGTAGCATCTTGATTTCCCCCCACAATATCCTGTTCTGTATGATTAATTGAAAGTGACTTGCTTCATATTTTACACGTTAAGGAAAAAGTCACCAGGAAGTTGTTCTAGAGCTTGACAGTGGCTATAATTTGTTCCGGTGTTACAAATACTTTGTACTTTCTCTTCACTTGTGTGTAAATTTGAATGTAAGTGCCTCCATTTTGCAAGCACTCATCATTGAAACATATTCTGGGACGGACTCAAATTGGAAGCTATGGTCTTCAGATTTTATGGATTTTTTTTGCTGTAGGTGAATACCATTTACATTTGGTGTGTGGTGAGCCTTTGACTCCAAATGGTTCTGATGTAAAGTAATATTTTGTGTCGGTCCCGGCAGTCCACATCAGTCAATCCATTGAATCCTTGGAACTGCTTTGTACAACCTGTGTAATGTGTGCTTAAGACATTAGGCTTCAAGATTGAAAATTGAGTGCAGTGAATTTAGTGACTTTTAAACCTTCCAGATGTGCTCAAATCTAACTCAGTTTAAGCTGTAGTATTTCTTAAACCACACGTGGATTATAAAGCTAACACTGCTTCTGCAAGCCAGTTTATAGGTGAAAGAGACCATTTTGTCCTTGTGCAACACTTCTGCCACCCAAAAGCCTACTGGAATGTGCAAGTGGTAATTTTTTTAGTAAAGGTTCATACAGGCAAACTGATTTAATGAGCTTTTTAAAAAAAAAATCAAATTGGTGTGCTTCAAGTCACTTGATTTATTTTGACTTCTGTTGCAAAAGTGCTGTCGTAACATTAGCTTGAATAATGCTTTAAATGTTTTCTAAAATAATAATCCTTGCATTTGATATAGCGCTTTTCACGTTTTCTCGACATCTCAAAGCGTTTCGCAGAATAGACTGTAATGTGAATTGACCGTATATATGTGGGCAAAAATTACTCTGGTCTTTTAAAAAGTAACTTCCTATTAAATTTATTGCACCTCTGCTATGGACAATGTTATTTAATATGCTTATC